GGGGAGGGTGGCAGAAGGTGGCCTAGGTAACATTCTCTGGATACCCTAGGCACTCTTTTTTTTTCTTCTCCTTCCCCATCCAGGGTTCAGATGGCATAATCTGGGGACTGAGGAGCTCACCCTGAGGGCCGCGACGGCTCACCCCAAGCCGGGGGCCGAGGGCAGCCCACCCCGGGCAGAGGGCTGCGATGGCTCGCCCCGAGCCGGGGGCCAAGGGCAGCTCGCCCCGTGCAGAGGGCCGCAGGCAGCCTGCCCCAGGCAGAGGGCCGAGGGCAGCACATCCTGGGCAGAGGGCTGCAATGGCTCACCCCGAGCCGGGGGTGGAGGGCAGCCCGCCCCGGGCAGAGGGCTGAAGGCAGTACGCCCTGGGCAGAGGGCTGCGACGGCTCGCCCCGAGCTGGGGGCCGAGGGCAGCCCGGTCCGGGCAGAGGGCCATGGGCAGCCTGCCCCAGGCAGAGGGCCAAGGGCAGCACGCCCCGGGCAGAGGGCCGCGACGGCTTGCCCCGGGCAGAGGGCCACGACAGCTCGCCCCGAGCCAGGGGCCGAGGGCAGCCCACCCCGGGCAGAGGGCCGCAACGGCTCGCCCCAAGCCGGGGGCCGAGGACAGCCCGCCCCGGGCAGTGAGCTGGGGGCCGAGGGCAGCCCGCCCTGGGCAGAGGGCCAAGGGCAGCCCGTCCCGAGCAGAGGGCTGCAACGGCTTGCCCCAAGCCGAGGGCTGAGGGCAGCCCATCACGAGCAGGGCAACACCCCTGGGAGCTGGCTGGTATACTCCCCCTCCAATTGCCCCTACCCCAGTCTGGTCCCCTCGCCTGACTAAGGACTCTGTGGTCAGGGATAGTGTTTCCAATTCCAGCACTGCCACTTTTACCCCCCCCATAAGTGGTCATACTATATTTTGAAGTAGTTGTCACTGCCCTCCCCTTTATATATGATAAAGGGAACCTGAGAATTGTGAACAGACTCCCCCCCCCGCCCCTAGGTCTAACCATCTTTTGACAGAAGCATTCAACAGAACAAAATATGTGGTGCATTTAGGATGTCGGTCCTCTTGTGCATGCTGCCACTGTTAAGGTCATCAGACTCACGGTGACTTTCAGCAATCCATTGCATAGGTAATCATCATCTTTGGCCTGTCCAAGGAAACCCAAACCTGTAGATGGCGGGCATGCATCCCATCCCCCACCTCCTATGCAGGTGGCCAGCAGGGCGCGCCCCCGCCCCCTAGAGTGGGAGGCCTGTGGGAGGCGCGCAGCCCCTCCAGTGTGGGTCGCTGTTGGGGGCAAGCCTCCCCACCCCGCCACACGGGTGCTCGGCGGGTGCGCAGCCCCTCTTGTGCGGGTGGCCGGCGGGCGCCTGCTTTCCCCACAGCCGCCATCCTGGCTCCAAGAATTCTCTCCAGACCAAGACCATCTTGCAGCAGTGTGGTGGTGCCCAGCATCCATCCTGGGTGAGGGAATCCATTTGTTCAGGCTGTGGAAGCCTCATGGAGCTGTAGCAGCTGTTCGGCGCAGCGCGGGCTCTGCAGGAGGGGGGGGGTTGGGAGCCAGGAGACTCACCCATTTCTCTTTGGGAATCCTTGAATTCCTGTTGTTGAGCCTCAATTTTCACCGAGGGCCTGTCATCAACTGTTTAAGTGTTCAATTATCAATAAGCCAAAGTCTGTAGAAGGCTATAATGGCCCGGCTTTAAGTGGTTCGCTGCTCCCGCAGCTCACCACGCTGTCTCTGCCTCCGCCACCATCTTGGATCTCTTGATTTCCTTTTCCCGTCCAGGATCCAGCTAGGTGGTGCATTTAGTGGTCACATCGCCCTTCTATCCTCTGATCTGTCAGTTTCTCTTTGTTTCTCATGATGTTGACCACTGAGAGACTTGCTGGCCAGGCAGCTTGTTGGGTGCCTCCCAAACTGAGTTGTCTGGTGTTTTTTCTCAGGATTATTCACAGGTGGCAGTTTGGGGGAAGAACACAGAGGTGAAGTGTCCTTCTCATGACATTGCAGATGTACTCCAAAACTATACGGCATCATGGTGATGATAGCTTTCTTCACTGGATTAGTGTTGTGTTTGACAAGCCTCTCCACTGTAAAGTTAGAAGTTTTCTTTTTCCTTATTAGTATTTTTGGAAGTAGGTACACTAGGATGTAAACGAAAAGAGCAAGGGGTGGGGTGGAAAGATGAGGACAGTGAGCATTTAAGATGAAGGAGGATAGATAGATAACATAGTACTAGGGGTAGATTGTGGAAGAGTGGGGTAAAAGGTTCAGACAAGGGAGTCTCCTTTCTACTCTGGCCTCCAGCTGCTCCTAGGCATTAGGGGAAGTAGGATGTGACATCAGTGGGGGATGGTGAGTAAATTCCCATCATCTTCTACAGAGTGGCCCACTTGAGAGTTCCTGTCCATGGGCTTGTTTAGGCCAGTGCCTGGGAGGGGCAAACAGTTTGCTCTTGCCTACTAATTGAAACGTTGATGGTTCGAATCTACTCAGCGAGGCCAAGGGTCAAGGGCCAAAGGGCCTGCTTCCGTAAAGATCACCACTAAGAACACCATCCTGAGTCCAGTTCTACGCTGTACACACACAAACACACAGGGCAGCTAAGGGGTGGAATCGACTGGGCAGCAATGGGCAATGGATTTGGTTTTTTGTTTTGTTTCACTTTCTGGAGAAGGAGGGTTGACATTTACATCTGCTTCTCTCCATCAGCTGGCAGTGTTCATTTACTATGCCGTGTGGAAGCCTCAGAAACAGTGGATCACCTTGGATACAGGCATCTTGGAGAGTCCCTACATCTACAGCCCTACCAAGAGGCAAGAAGCCTGGAGGTTTATCTCCTACATGCTGGTACATGCTGGGTAAGGAGCCACTAATGTCAGAAGGAATGAAAAGTCATTATATAATCTTTAACTCTTGTCCAGTGCTTTGTCATTGAGAAAGCATTGTCTTATCTATAGTCTTACTTGAAATTCATGGCAACCCTAAGAAGCAGTTATCGTTTCTGCCATTGTATGTCTTAGACTTAGGGAACTGGCCCAAGTCACACATCTGAATTGTAGAACTAAGACTTGAACTCCTCTGACTTACTCTGAGTCTGTGGAACTTTTTTTTTTAAAATTACGTATCTGTGTACCATCAAATCGGATCTGATTGGTACAGGAGGAGATTGCCCCTCTTTCTCCAGCAGAGAATCTGGTGGGTTCAAACTGCGTACCTCTAGGATTGCAGTGCAGCTCACTAGGCCACCAGAGCTCCCGAGTCTGTGGTACTTTATATTACGTTATCACTGTCTGCTGTTGGTATTTACATTGGAACACAAATGATAAAAGACCAAGCCAAATCTATGTTTTCCTAGTTTTTCAATGTTGTTGAATGTTCCCTACTAGTATCTGTGTAGTAAAAACATTGGCATACTTGGCTGCTAATGGAAAAGTTGGCAGTTAATTCTACCCAGAAGCACCCAGAAGAAAGGACTGACAATCTACTTCTAAAAATCATCGATTGAAAACACTGGAAAGTACAGTTCTTCTCGGAATACATTGTGTCCTCAGCAGCTGTTTTTAATATAGGTAATGGGATTGTAGAACCTAATCACTAGTTCTCCAGTCACAATCTTTTTTAAAAAATATTATGTGAACATTTTAGTGAATGTGTACTACTGTTTACTCACCTGCTACATTATAGATAATAGGAGATGTGGGGCCTGACTTTTCATTTACCTTCAGTTTCTTAAATGTTAGTTGCCTTCCAAGACTTAACTCAAAGTCGTGATCCCCTCGCTCCCTGCAGACAGTGAGGAGCTGGCTTCTGGCCTCACTTCTCTTTGTGGTTCAGGTGAAGGCAACTTCCTCCAGGGTATCCACCCTGCCCTACACCTGGGTAACACTTTGACCAGTGGTAAGATAGGTGGATAGCACAGGCTACATCACAGGTCAGATAGGTCAGAAACAGAAACAGTAAGAACATTCAGTTTCCATAGACACTTCCACAATTATTTTCCATTTAATAGTCTGTTCTGAATAACTATGGTTCCTGCACTCAAAGACTTTAAAATTTTAAGGGGAGAGACTTGCTAAATAGAAATATAAGGCAACAAGTCATTATAGTTGACAGTAATTTCTTGATCTCTGTGTCTCAGTTTCTCATCTTTAAAATGTTGTGGTTATTAGTTGCCTTGAATCAAGTACAACTCACAGCAACCCCATGTACAACAGAACCCTGTCCTATCCTGTGCCGTTCTCACAGTCTTTGACACACTGAGCCCATTGAAACAATCACTATGTCATTCCACCTGGTTGAGGGTCTTTTCTTTTGCTGACCCTCTACCTTTCCGAGCATGACGTTCCTCTCCAAGGAATGGCCTCTACTAGTGACACGCTCAAAGTATGTGAGACGAAGCTTTACATCCTCGCCTTTCAGGATCACTCTGGCTGTACATTCTGCAAACATATCGGCTTGTTCTTTTGGCAGCCCACAACATGTTCAATACTCTTCTCCAAAACCACAGCTCAAAGACATCAATTCTTCCATCATCTTTATTCATTATCCAATTCTCAGATGCACAGCAAGTGACTAAAAAGGCCATGGCCTGAATCAGACACACCTTTATTCTCAAACTGACATCAACGCTCCTCAATAATTTGAAGAGGTTCCTGACTACAGACTTTCCCAGTGTAATACATCTCCTGAGCACCTGAGTTCTGGTACCAAGTGTACTGATCGTGGATTCAAGAAAGATGAACTTATTGACAGTTTCAGTGTTTTCTCCATCTATCATGGCATTATCTATCAGTCCATTGGTGAGAATTCTTATTCTCTTGACATTGAGATGCAATCCACATTGAAGGTTGCAGTCTTCAACCTTCTACAGTAAATGCTTCGAGCTGTCTTTACTTTAAACAAATAAGATTGTGTCATCTGCATAAGAAGGTTTACTGATGAGTCTTTCTCTAGTCCTGATGATCTTTAAAATGTTGTTGTTGTTATGTGTCTCATACTGATCCTAATAGGTACAACAGTTCTGAACCCTGAGCCAGTTTCACTGACTCCAACACACTTAATCCCATTGCCCCAGTTATTCCATCTCATGGGGGAGGGGGTGCCTTCCTCTCTCGCCCTATCCTTCCACTCTTTGAAGCATGATGTCCTTCTCCAGCAACTGGTTCTTCTGGCCATGTGCCCAAAGTATGTGAGATGGAGCTTCAAAATCCTTGCCTCTATGGAGAAATTTGGTTTCACCCTCTCCAAGAGAGATCTATTCGTTCTCCTCTTCTCCAGAACCACGATGTTGTTGTTGTTGTTGTTATGTGCCATCGAGTCGCTTGTGACTCATAGCGACCCTGTGTACAAGAGTCCTAAATGCTGTTCTATCCTGTGCCAACCTAGCCATCTCAAACACACTCATTCCCACCACTCCACTCACAGAATCGATCCATCTCATCAAGGTCTGCCTCTCCTTCGCCACCCCTCCACTCTGCCAAACATGATGTCCCTCTCCAAGGACCAGTCCCTCCTTGCAACATGCCCAAAGTATGTCAGACGAAGCTTCAGAATCCTTGACTCCAAGGAGCATTCTGGCTTCACCCTCTCCAGGACAAACCTGTTTGTTCTCCTAGCAGTCCATGGTATATTCAACACTCTTCTCCAGCACCACAGCTCAAAGGCATCAATTCTCTTTCTATGAACCCTATTCACCATCCAACTCTCTGATGCATAGCACATAATTGCGAAGATTATAGCCCGGATCAGGCGCACCTTAGTCTCCAGCCTGACATCGTTGCTCTTCAGTACTCTTGAGAGGTCACTCACAATACAAAGAAAATTCTTCTGTCATCCTTAGTCACTGTCCAGCTCTCTGATGCATAACATGTAATTGTGAAGACCATGTCCTGGATCAGGTGCACCTCAGTCTCCAGACTGACATCCTTGCTCCCCAGCACTCTGGAATGGTCCCTGACAGCAGATTTCCCCAATGCAATTAATCTCTTGATTACCTGACTGTTGATGCCAAAAGTGTTGATTGTGGAGCTGAGCAAACTGAAATTGTTAACAACCTCAATCTCTTCTCCATCTATCAGGAGATACTATTGGTATCAATGGTGACACCATTGGCCCAGTGGTGACAGTCTTTGTCTTCTTGATTTTCAGCTTCAGTCCATACTGAAGACTATAGTCCTTGACCTTCTTCAGTAAATGCTTCAGGTCCTCCTCAGTTTTGGCACACAAGGTTGTATCATTTGCATAATGCAGGTTATTGATGAGTCTTTCTTCAATCCTGATGACATACTTCTTCTTGAATTATCTGTTCCACATATAGATTGGAAAGGTAGGAGACAGACAGGACACATACTTGACACACTCCTAATTTTGAACCATGTAGTATTTCCTTGCTTTGTTCTGACAACTTCCTCCTGGTCTAAGTATAAGTTTCATATAAGCACAATCAAGTGTTCTGGGATTCCCATTCTTCTCAAGGATGGCCATAATTTGTTGTGATCCACACAGTCAAATGCCTTAGCATAGTAAATGAAGAATAGGTAGCCATTCCTCTGGGACTCTTTGCTTTCTGCCAAGATCCATCTGACATTGGCAATAATGTCTCTAGTGCCATGGCCTCTTCTAAACCCAGCTTGTATTTCTGGTAGTTCTCTGTTAACGTACTGTTCCAGTTGTTTGGGGTTTGTTTGTTTTTGTTTTTTTTATAATCTTCAGCAGGATTTTACATATGTGTGATATTAGGGATATTGTTTGATAGTTTCCACACAGTTGGATCACCCTTTTTTTTGGTCATCATCTTAAAAATATTATTGTTGTTGATTGCCTTCAAGTTGAGCGTGACTTATTGTAACCCTATGAACAAAAGGCCTGAAGCCCCTCTACAACTATAGACACGTTATCAAAGTTCATAAAGTTTCTGGAGGCAGGTTATTGAGGAAGTAGATGCCACTCCTGCATTAGGATAATATAGTTCTAACTCCTAAGGTTCTTGTGAAACAAGAGCAGTTACCATTTTCACTGTGCTTTCAAGAAGCTGTCTGTGTAGGATATTTCCCATATGAAGTTGCATAAAATTAGGAATTCTTGTAGGTACAAAGAACAAAGCAGGAAAAAAAACCAAACCCAAACTATCAGTGGCTTAAACAAATAGAAGTTCATTTCCCCCAAATAATAACTGCAGAGTTGGTTGGTAGTTTAATAAAGCCAGGCTCTGTACTGAGCAGTCATCTCTCAGACCTTACTTAGTCTTTGTCTCATGGTTACAAGTGTAAGTATCTTTTAGGCAAGAAGGATGAGGATGTGGCACCAGCTACTAGTACACCAGGCCCTTCTATCACACAAAAACTTTCCTTAAATTCTCTAAGGAATGCTTTTACTTTTATGTCATTGGTCAGAACCACATGATAGCTAGAAGAGAGATTGGGTAAGTGGACTTTCGTTCCTTCAGTCTTATTATAGAAAGGTGGAAACAAAGTGGATATTGGATTGTTGTTGTTAAGTGCCGTTGAGTGAGTTGCAGGCAACTCATAGCAACCCTATGAAGGAGAGTCCTCGACGCTTGGGTGCCTCTCATCCTCTCTCCAGGTTCATAGGGTTTCCGGAGGCAAGCTATTATGGAAGTGGATGCCACTCCTCCTTCCAAGCTTGTTTTAATCAGGGAGCTCCACCCCACTCTCTGTTCGCATTGGGTAGCCAACCATTAACGCATTTGACACATCAGTGTCACAGTGTTCAGCCTCACAGCAACCACAAGTGACCGTGGTATGGAAACTTGTACACCAGGGCTCTATGACCTAGAGGAATGTCTGAACAAAAACAGTGAAAGACTGCGGCCCTCGGGCCCTTTTGGGCTTGAAGTCCT